AAAGAACTGCAATTAGAATTCCATTTGACCTAGCTATCTCCCTCCTCTAGGTGTCTTCCCCAAAGAGTTAAAGACATTATATTACAGTGATCCATTTATAGAATCGACAACACCTAAATCTTGGAAGCAGCTTGTATGCTCAGTAACAGATAAATGGATAAAGAAAATGTTGTTTTTACACACAATGGAGTATTACTCTGCCATAAAGAAGGATAAACTTGCCAGGCATAGTGGCACATGGCTGAAATCCTAGCATTCGAGAGGCTGAGGCAGGAGGATCATCGTGTACTTCAAGGCCAGCCTGAATTATAGAGCAAGATCCTGTCTCAAAAAACAAACAGAAAGTACAAACTTGAGTCATTTATCGCAGAATGAATGCACCTTGAGACCATGTTATGTGAAATAAATCAGATGCACATGCTTAAATTTTACATGGTCTCTTCACTTATTATGAGAAAACCAAGATATGAATAAAGAACAAAATAAAACGTAGTAAGAATGGAACTAATACAAATTATAAAACTACTAGAGAAAAAAAAAAAAACGTAGTAAGAATGGATGGGGGGGAGGATAAAAAGGATGTGTTATACACATGTGTAATTCCTCACAAGAAATGTAAAAAAATAATCTGAGTCCTAATTTCTGTGTCTTGTTTTGATGGAGTGGTCCCAAAGGAAGGTGCTCATCAAGGCAAAGAGCACAACCACCTATCTCCTGCCCCAGGCCCCTCCCTGCGGCTGTCAAGGAGAGCAGGTGTGTGTCCAGGCAAGCACAGGGTGAGGACTGGCTGCTCTGAAGCTGGGCAGGCCAGTCCTGCCACAGTGGCCTTCCTGGCTCTACAGATCACCTTCCGCAGGGGCACCCTCACAACGACCCCACTTCCTTCCAGATGCTGCTGGTTCAGAGTGGAGAGCAAGCAGCGCTTCCTGGGTAGTGACATCGACCCAGCCTGAGCAGGTCATCAGGAAAAGGGAGGAGATGTGGCGGGGTGGAACTCTACTGTCCCTGCGTAACCTCCTCAGCTCCAGCGCTCTCACCACCTACATCAGAGAACATTGCGGACTTCCGCTTAGTTCTGTACCATCACTCAGGGAAGCACACACTCCTGGGGCCACAGACTGTGTCTGCTTTTTGCACAAAGCTCATCTAAATCCTGTTTTGCAGACGGTATAAGGGAACCATGGTGTGGGGAATAAATATGAAAATGTGCTAACGTCCTCAGTGGAAATGTTGGTGCTGCTGTGAAGCTTACCAGCCCTGGGGAAGCAGGGCGTGCCACTGGCTTTCCATGCCGTCAGTGGTGTGCTGAGACACTGTGACAGGAACAATCTCTTCCCCGCTTCGTGCAGCACTGCGACCCCAGGGCTCCACGGGAGCTACCGGGCTTCCCGCCATCTCCAAAGCCAAGGCACACTGAAAGCAGCATCAGAGGAGACAGTAGCCAAGCACTGAGCCCTTCGCTTCATCCGTGTGTGGCTTACTTAGTGAAGCTGGCACCGTTGTCTGATTGAGAAGTGGGCCGAAAATCACTGGGTACCACGCAGAGCCCATCGAGAAGGACCGGTCGAGTGCATGCAGGACAAAGAGGCTAATTTTATTCTTTTTTTCTTAAAGATACAATAGAAGTTTTACAATTCAGTATGATTTCAACGTGATTTGTAATTTTAATACTTAATGACAACAAAGAACTAATACAAATTATAAAACTACTAGAGAAAAAAAAAAACCCAAACCAAACCAAAACTACCTTTCTGATCAAAACATGGGCTACAGCTAAACTTCTTTAGAACCATTTTGTAGAAAGCTTGAAACTCAAATTTCTAAACTATAGTTAGTTTTGTAACTACTATGTGCCTTCAGCTCATTAATCATACACTTCCTATTTAGGAACTGATCACCAAGTGCCTTGAAACATGTAAGTCTTGATCTTATTTTTCCAGCTATAAAATGCTAATATTTCATGAAAACAACAAAATATTTAAGCACAGAAGCTTTCTGAAAACTTCTATGAACCTCTTCTGGCTCAGTATCTGACCGAAATGTTCAAATGTTTATATTGCACACAAAAAAATTTGAGCAGCATACTATATTTATATGAGAAACTGATAAAAAAAAAAAAAAGACTGGGAAAACCCCCTAAATTTACATGATTTAAATATATAGTTTCTATATCATTAATTAGTATAAGTAAAAAGGTAAACTTTTGAACAGCACAGAAATACAAATGTATTTAGAGGTTTACAAAATATACCCAACCCTTTAGACATGCACATCTTTTAATGTGGAGCCACCACACAAGGGAGTGCTCGTCTCCTTCATAATGAACGCAGGAAGTCACGTGTACAAAGTTACAGGTAGGAAAAGAATAAAGATGCACATTCCTTCTGTTGGAATGGGACATTGGAAATGAGAGGAAAGCAATTCCAATGTTGTGAAGTCTGCACATTTGGAATGAGGAAATTTCTAGCACATGTTCTGCTGTGTGGAGTGACAGCCATCATCAAGTGATCCGGGCAGCATTCTCCTCATGCTTAACGGTGACCAAGGGACTGGGTGGAAAGCAGTGAAAGGTGTGCCACCTCTGACCAGAGAATGCATGCAAATGCAGGCGCCATTTCAGGAGTGCCGGCCAGCTAACTCCCGCAACAGGACCAGGCCACACTCAGCAGCTACCATCCCAACAGGCTACCTCCACACAGGTGCACAGCCACCTGCCTGCGGTTAAGGACGGGGACATCGGCCCCACACAGCACCAAAGGGCTGCCAACCAGCACTGGCTGGGGAAGGCCAAGTGGGTATGAAGCTCATAAAACTTTTCTCCACAGAGTATAAAACGTTAGCAAAACCTTGCCTGCCGGGGAAGAAATACTATAGCTTCATTTAGAAGCTTGAAGCTAGCGGATTAAAATTCTAACTTCCCTCTAAAACAATTCTTCTAACCTTCAGCAGATTAAATACCGCTCTCAAAGTATTTCATTCAGATTTTAAGTACCTTGTTCCTCAGCCACACAATTTCTTCCTCTTCCTAATCTGCTTTGACTGTGGCTTTCCAAAGGAAGTTACTCTAAAAACATTCAATGCTTAGTTACAGAGCTTGGAAAGCAGAAGCCTGAGGAAGTGACATCATACACTCTAGTTTGCTGCCAAGAAAAATAGCTGCTGTTACTGAAAGCAAAGGTAGGTGAGAACTGTTTAGGGCTTGGAGGCCAGTGAGTCACATGAGCCAAATACATATGCAAAGTTTGCGACAGGCAACTTTTTCTATTCCTCTACTCCACACCACAGCTTTACTATTCTCTTCCTTATTTATGCCATTCTCATTACAGTGCCTAAGGGAATATATGAACCAGGGTCTTTTACCAAACACTACTTAGAAGTCATCTGAACAGCGGGGAATCTACTGATAGGCTGCAGATGTCCTCTGTGTGCCCACCTACCTGCAAAGGCTGTCTAACTGTAGCTCCCACCGGCCTAGTCACAGTCTTTGGATGTAAAGTCTTAGGGATCACTGCAGAAAGTGTGGCACCAACAGACCCAGCTTTCTGGTGATCTATCAGAAGATGGCCCAGTACCAGCTCCAGAGCTACACAGCCAGTATCTGGAGTAAGGCACTTCCTCTGGCCTGCCACTTGGCGGGGCTGGAATGCAAGCCTGAGGCCTGTGGGCTCACAGCCAGGGGCAGGCGTCCTGTCCTCAGTGCTGGCCTTGGAAACCATCTCCCAGAACTGAAAGGCAGTACAGGTAGGGCCTTTGCCATCGCTTCTATCTTTTGAGATACTTACTTTATGTTGAAAGCCAATTAATTGTCCACTTTGAAAATTAAACTAGAAGGATTAGTAGAAGATACAATTAAAATACACATTCAAATGGGGAACTAGTGAGCAAAATGTAATTTAATGTGACTTTATGTCACTGGACTAAAAACTACCCATTGGCTGCTTCTGAATAGAGACAGAAGTCTACCCCAGACCCACAAGTCTGGTACCAACAGAATGCCACTCAGCATCTTGCGGCTGGCTAATCCCTCATGGGACACCAGGCAACTCACAGAGCAAACTGCTGGCACCAAACAGGTGATGACAACCACACTGAAACATACTATTACACTCCAACTTGTGGTGTGGCCCTGGGATGAGACAGTCTCAGCACAACCCTGTAGAGAACTTTTTAAGGTTTTGTCTGCTATTACTTTCCTGTTTCAAAAAAAATTTTTTTTTTGAGATAGGGTCTCACTAGGTAGCTCAGGTTGCCTTGAACTCACAGTGAACCTCCTGCCTCAGCCTTCCTGGGATTACAGGCATGTGCCACCACACCCAGCAGCATTCAAATAATACTCCTGGACTTAACTCTCTGGGCTGGAACAAATCAATGGAGTTTTCACATAGAGTCTTTCAACATATCTTTGCTGAGCTTTCAAGTTATTATCCTTAAACAGAAGTATGATTTTTTTAGGTGCACTGGACTTCTGTTCAAAGACAAATTAGGAAACTCAGCTACTTAGATTATGTCCCATGTTCATTTCACATGCCTTAAGAGGATGACTTTATAAATAACTATTTTGTACACGATAAAGCAAATGTAACCAGTGTCCTCAATCAGGCAACTGAATTCCCCAATATTCCTTAGTGCATAAGTAGGTCACACTGAAAAGGCATTTCCCACAGTCCCCTGTTGCTGAAAGGGAGTCTGGTCCCTCAAGGCTGAGAAGCCCATTCCAAGTCCCTAGAAAAGCAGCATGCGAACATGTGAGCTCCAGCAGTGCAGAGCATTAACAAAGGGTACACAGCTGCAGCTGGCAAGCCAAAACCAGGTGTCCTGGGGACAAGTGACAAAGTGCAGGACTTTGGCCTTCCTCTCCTGCCTTGTGGTTTATCAAATGTGAGCTAAACTGAGATTTTTCTTTTTCCTTTTTCCCCCTTTTTTGAGGGGGGAGTGTATTACTGGGGATTGAACCTAGAGCCTTCCCAATGGGCAACATCCTGAGCCTTTATTTTTATTTTTCAGACAGAGCTAAGTTGCAAAGTTGCCCAGGTTGAAATCCTCCTGCCTCAGCCTCCCAGAGTTCTGGGATTAAAGCTGTACATCATCATCACTGGCTGAGATTTCTCTTTCAGCTTTATGAATCATTTTGCTTTTCTTTTATAAAGACTTTTAGAAGGAGGCAAGGACTGATTGCAGGAGGATTTTCAGTCAGGGAAGCAAGAAGGCCAAGTGCCTGGAAAAGCTTTATGAGTAAGAGGAAGAAGAAACCTGTAGGTTTGTCAATAGGGACAGGAAACTAGAAGTCAAGAAGAAGAGGGCACAAACTTTGGATTAAAAAATGCTGGCAACGACTGACACATGACCAGAGTTGACAAAACTAATGTATGGGTGTTTGAAAGCGCTGAACAAAGACTAGCCAACGTCAAACCACTCACCACTGTGACTGTCCAAACAGTTTCTCTGTCCACTTGCTCTGACACGGTCAGCAGGGGCAGGAGAGCACAGGACACTCCCTGTGGCCTCAAAGCAAGTGTGCAGGAAAGAACAAATCAACCACCTGAAAGCACTCTATGCACAGAACTCCTGCTCTGTCTTGCAGTTCTTGGAAGAAGTGAACTAATCAGTGTGTTTTGTGGCTAGGAAATACCTTAAAAAAAAAATCCTAGAACTCAGGAAAACAGTAACGGCTGGATTTACGGCCCTTTACCCTTATAAGCACATTGTACAGCCAACATCACAGAAATTAAAAATAGTAATATAACTTAATTTTAGCAAATATAAATTAAAATGGGTATCTATATATTCAGAAGCAAAACAACAAAATTTACATTAAAACTTTTCTAAAGTAAACATATACAATCTCTGAACTTAAGGAATTCATTAGAAGGCTTACTGCACGTTTTAGGCTCAGAATGAAAGAGAAGTAGTCAATTTAAAGGTCAACCTGGAGTCCATCCCTGCTGTGCCTATGACCTCATCTTCTCCGCATCCTATGATGTTTGTCAGACTGAGTGCAGCTGTCCATGTAAACAGTTCCAGGTTTAAGCCCCTGCTGTGGCCCTGTGACTGGGGAAAGCGAGGCCGGGGGCACAGGTGGCCAGGAGCACTTACACCTAAGAAAGTGACGCAGCTTCTTCCATGGCTCAGGGCTTCCCATCGGGGGGCTCGGGGAGACTCTGAGGTGTGGAAGTGGTGAAGGTCGAAAGCCATGAAGACATAGCTGTCTTTGCAGTGGAAAATGCTCCTCCAACCGACTGGCCTGGTGGAAAGCAGAGGAAAAAACACATGAACTGTGAAAGATGAAGGCTTATCAATCAATACATGGTGACTCATATACCAATATGTCAATAAAACAATGAATTTTCTGATTTCAAAACAATCCCTTCCATAAGAAACTGGTTTCTTGGTGTAGGAGCCCACTCTAGGAACTCTGAATGTATTCATGAACCTGTGCTAGTGCTGCTGCTGGCTGTCCACGAGAACTATCTGGATTGCCTAAGAAGTGAAACATGCTCTCTGTACCTTGAACATCACACTGATAATCAATACCACCTATACAGGGAAGGGTGATTAAGCAGACTTAGAGAAATTTGCTTTTAGCATCTACAACTGGTAGATTAAAGCCATACAGCACTCAATCTGCCTCAGGTCTATCCTGTTCTAAAGAACATCTGAAAAGTTGAGGCTAATGTGAAGTTACATAAATTGAATCATTACTCTTACAGAGCAGAACATGGAAGAACTTGGTCTTAAGAGTTTAAATACTGGTAGCAACCTTCCCTAAACACCAAATACAGTAGTCTTCCCTTGCCTGTGGTTTTACTTTCTACAACTTTAGTTACCTGTGGTTTGAAACTATTAAATGGAAGATTCCAGGGGCTGGGGATTTAGCTCAGCAGCACAGTGCCTGCCTGGCAAGTGCAAGGTCGTGAGTTCGAGTCCCAGTACCAGAAAAAAAAAAAAAACCGGAAGATTCTAGAAATAATTTTCAAGTTTTCAGCTCACACTGTACTGAGCAGGGTGACATTTTGCTCTGCCCAGCCCCATCCTGCCTGCACTGAGTCTGCTCTTATGCAGCGTGTACAGGCTGTGTGTGCTGCCTGTGAGGCACAGGCCATCACCTGGTTATCACGCAGACCATCAGGCGGTACAGTGTATGGCCCAGTAACTTCACAGCAGTCCTGAGGCAAAAAAGCAATGTGTTGGCCACTCAGATTGCCAAACAGAAGCTGTCAAGTGCTTCTTAAGGGAAAAGGTGAAGGTATAAGCTCTCTGGTGAGACAAAGCACATTCATATAACTTTTACCGGGAACCGAACTCACGACATTGCGCTTGCCAGGCAGGCGTTTTGCCTCTGAGCTCAATCCCCAGCCCCTCACATAACTTTTATGATAGTGTATTTGCATGCTGGCTCCATTTTAACATTATTATTATTAATTGCTTATTGCACTTAGTTTATGTTAAATTAAAAATATTGCAGCAAGATTTTTAATCTTGTATTCCATTTTTGGGGTTTTTTGGAGACAGGGTCTTGATATGTAGTGCCAGCTGGCCTTAAATTCACAGCAATCCTCCTGCCTCCGCCTCCTGAATGCTGGGATTACAGGTGTGCACCACCACGCCTGGCTTATATTCCATTTTATTATAGAGCTTTGCAGATTTTCTGTTTCTTACTGCATCAGTTTTGTAATTTGAGTCTTTTAAGTTAGTTTTATATTTTATCTGTGTTGTCAAATTGGTTGGCATAAAATTGTTTACAATATCCCCTTAACCTTTTAATTTCTGTAACATCTGTACTGATGTCCCTTTGGTTTTTTGAGAAGGGACGCACTATGTAGTTCAGGCTGGACTTGAACTCATTATGTAGCTGAAGCTGGCCTCCAACTCACAGTGATCCTCCGGCCTCAATCTACCTCAAAATCCCAAGCGCTGGGGTTACAGGCATGCACTTCTTCATTTCTCATACTCATCATTTGTGTCTTCTCTTTTTTTCTTTATCAGTTTACAGAAGTTTTATAAATATGAATCATTTTTTTTTTTAAATCAACTGTTATTTTGTTCATTTTCTTTACTGTGTGATACTACCTTAGCAAACAGCAGCTCCTCTGGCCTACTTTATTATGAGTATCTGCTGTTTCTAAAGAACTGAATGTAGCTCAAGGAGCAGGGACAAAATTCCCATGAAGCTTCAATTCTGGGAACAGAACAGTGAACTTATCAGGATATTTGAGTAATACCCATCAGATATGTGAAATTTGCTGAACTCTGATATTATTTAGTATCATAATGACTTTCTGGCTGGGAACACAGTTCAGTGCCACAGTGCCTGCCTGGCAAGCACAAAGTCCTGAGTTCGATTCCTGTACCAAAAGGAAAAAAAAAGACAATAACTTTTGAACAAGAGAAAGATTTTTTTAAAAAGCCTTGATTATGTCATACACAAATTTCTACAACTTTTTCTCTTTATCAATTACATACTGAGCACAGAAATAGATATTCAGGACTCTAAACTGTTCCTGGCTAATGGTCATGCCTTACCTACAGCTTTTCCTGTTTGTACCACATTTCTGCTGGTTGTAACCATGGCGTTTCCAATTTTTTTGCCACGTTCACTATTTTGAACAGAACTGAAAAAAGGACAGAAGTGTTAATATAACTAAAAAAAATCTCACACAGGCATGCACATACATTAACCATTCTATAACCATCCCAAATCAGAATTACTAAGAAGGTGAATTATTTGTTAGAAAATTTATGAACTTTTTAAATGTATGAATTTTCAGTATAGACTAAAAAAATACAGGCGAACCAAAAAGTGGGGAGGACACAAATATGGTTAAATCTCCTCGTAAGATTTGGTTTGCTAAAGACACTTCCCCCAAATACGGGCAAGTCCTGCTATTAGTTTACACCATTTCCATGGAACAGAAGTGTTTTCACTTGAAACACATACACTGCTGAGCTAGAGAATGTTATGCACATATTTGGTTACTGTTTGAAGCACAAGTCTATTAAGAAGAGAAAATTCCTAATGAGCAGCAAAATACATGGCATAAATTCAGGTAGAAGAATTTTTCTCATATTCTTTCTAAGTACTTACTGTGAGAATCTTAACTTCATGTCCGACATGGAGTACTGGCCTTGAAATGGATGGCTGGAAAACAAAAACGTTTGAGTTTACGTTATGATGGTTTTTTTTTTTGGTTTTGTTTTGTTGTTTTAACCAGCAAAGCTGTGAAGAGTTATCCCAAGAAAATGAAAGTACTGGTAAATCTCTCAGGGTGACACAGCCAAGTGGTAGCACTCCAAATCTGCTATGAGGAAAGTAGGCTTGGACCCCAGCTCTTCCTTTATGCTACATGAATCAAAGAGTGTACATAACCCTTCTGAGCATTAGTTTCCTCCTTGTTGTGTGTGTGTGTGTGTGTGTGTGTGTGTGTGTGTGTGTGTTGGGGGACTGTGGCTGTGTTTGTACCATCCTGATATTCTGGCTTTTGCTCTGGGGTGAGGGCCCAAGTATCAACATTTCTTTCTTCTTCTTTTTTTTTTTCTTTTCTGAGACAGGATCCCTCTTGTCCAGGCTGGCCTCATATTTCAGAGTTCAAGGGATCCTCCTACGTGAGGTTCTCCAGTAGCTGGGACTACAGGCATGTGCCACTGTGCCTGGCCACCAACGTTTTTTAAAAGCTTCCCAGGACAGTCAGGGTTAGTCACTGATTTAGATCATGGTCATGGGTTGTACCTTGATCCTGGTCATCTTATAAAAGTGTTGTATTGGTCGTGAAGAGATCTGTGGGTGGACCAAAAAAAATTCATACTTTGTCACATAGAAAAGCAACTCAAGATGCAGTTCTTGGCTGGGGATGGTGGAACATATCTATAATCCAAGCACTTGGGAGGCTGAGGTAGGAAGATCATTGTGAGTTTAAGGTCAACCTGGGCTACATAGTGAGACCCTGTCTCCCAAAACAAAACAAAACAAAACAAAGCAGTTCTTAAAAATGGTACTATGCTTTAGGAGGGAATTCTTAGTCTTACCTTCCTACTTCTATTACATGAAAGGAAATGCTACATTAAAAAAACAAACAAACAAAAACCAGGGGACCAAGGGAGGAGGTTTGTTTTAATCCATGACTTTGAGGTCAGCCTCGACAATATAATAAGACTACATCTACATCTGAAAAAAAAAAAAAAAAAAAAAACCCACAAAAAAACAAGACACACACACAAACCAAAAAAACACACAACTTGATTATAGACTATACTCTCGGCCAAAGTAACTGCACTTAACACTTCCTCCTCTTCCAGACTCCTCACCCAGACCTAGACAGCTCAGAGGTTACATGGCTACTCTTTCTCCTCCAGAAAGTCTGTGTTAAGGAAAAAACATGCCTGCTACTTGTTTACTGAGGGGCTGGATTTCTTAATCTTTAGAAATTTGCAGAAGGGGTTCCATAGATCTTAAAACTGCAATTAATTTGGAGTAAATTATATTTTCTGATAACAACCGAAGATCTTCTTCAGCCTTCTTTTACCTAGGTAACCTCAACTTCTTTAATTTTTTTTAAGCACTATTTTAGCCTTAGGTAGCTCTCTCTAGCTAAGCCTCCCATGGCCTGACCAATGAGTGCACAGATAGCTGGTCAGGTCTTAGGCACCAGAGGTGGGAGGTGCATGGATGCCCCACATGCAGAGGCCTCTAAGCACCAGGCCAGGGCCCCAGCACAGCAGCCCCTCAGTCCCCCAAAGCACACTCAGAACAGACGACTCTGAAGTCTTAGCCTTTCATTTGACATCACTAAGTGGTTTATTTTTTTGGTCTGTTTGAGACAGGGTCTCGCTATGCAGTTCAGGCTGGCCTTGAGCTCACTTTGTAACCCAGGCTGGCCTTGAACTCCCAACAATCCTCCTGCCTCAGCCTCCTGAGTGCTGGGATTACAGGCGTATGCCACTACACCCAGCCACTAAGTGGTTTTGCCTTTTCATTTTCTATGTTTTTACCCCAATGGCTATTTAGGTTTTTGCTGTAGCCCAATATGAGAACTAAATTCATGAAAACAAGTATGAACCTAGTAATTTTTCTTGCCAGATGGCAGAAAGCTTAACAGACACATTCTGTGAAGCCTTTTCACACCCTCCCTCCCACACGACGCACCTCCAGGCTGCTCTGGCTCATCTCTTTTTGTCCAGAGACATTCTTTCCAGTGCCCCTTCAGTGACTACTCTACTTTAGCTAAATAAAGTTCACCCTGGCTCCAAAAGAGTATGGTAATGAGGACAAAGCTGGCGTTTGCCTATTTTCTCACTAAGTGTAAAATACAATGAAAAATGTCAGTATATCCTTGTATTTTTAAAAACATTTAATCTTTTAAAGTATGTCTTCAGTTGATCTTGTTAACCTCGACTGACATACTCACACCCAGATGTTACTGTTACTGGTATCAATGTACAGTATGCCTATTTTTTTTTTTTTTTTTTTTGGCTTTTTGAGTCAGGGTCTTGCTATGCAGTTCAGGCTAGCATTGAGCTCACTTTGTAGCCTAGGCTGGCCTCAAACTCACAACAATCCTCCTGCCTCAGCCTCCTGAGTGCTGAGATTACAGGTGTGCGCCACCACGCCTGGCTCCGGTATGCCTTTTTCTGCCTATGCAGGGTAAAGCCTTTGTCCAATGTTCCAGAGCGGAGCGTATTAACTGTGTTGAATGTTAGAATACAAAGGGTTTCCCTCCAGGCTTCTCCCTCATTTGACCATTCTGCTGAAGTGTAGCTCCAGAGAAAGGGACAAAACCTGCCAGTATCTCCCCTCTGAACTATACCAAGAGCTGGAAAAATGTTAAGAGCTTCCTATGGTGCTCTGTGCTTTTTGTATAAAAACTTAAGAATATGAAAGCAGTTTTTAACCTGCTTTTCTATATGAAGGATCCTTTTTACAGCCCACTTAAGATAATTCTTGAAGACAGTCACAATATCAAAAACACAATTCTCTTTGTATTGGGCACCTAAAGCAATTGGTTTATGTAGTATTATCTACTGGTCTCCAGAAGATGTGCTTACTTTGGATTTATTTCTGCAAGTGCTGGGTGCTTGTTGCTGTTCCATACCCTGTAGTTGTGAGTATTCTTCCAGGCTGTAACAAAAGTGGTCCCATAGTCCGATAGTATCTTTTCATTATCTGTCAAGTAAACATTTGAAAGAAGTTGAGCTGGACTGTGGCCATTCAGGGACATGAAGATTAACAACAACAAAGGGTAAAGAAATGGCTTTATCCACCCGCCCACCCAGTTTTGTTTTGTTTTGTTTTTGAGATAGCCTACCAGATGTCAGGAAACTTTGGGTCTAGTTCCAGAAATCCTGTTAAGAAGCTATGTGGTCTTTGGCAAGTCACTTAATCACTCAGAACTTATTTTTTCCTAACTGGAAAATAAGAGGGTTGAGCCAGACATTTTCCAAGGTTCCTTACAACTCCAAAATGTCTGCATGTTCTCCTTCCCATTATGAGGACAGCATTATTTATTAAACAAAAATCTATAGGCTTGACAGTGAATAAACACACTGGTTCATACATATGGAGAAAGCAATTAGGATATCTTCCTATATTTTCACAAATGTCATTTTCTTCTACAAAAATATTAAGATGGAATACATCTGATTGGTTTAGCAATTATTTTCTATTCTTCAGGCTGTATCTCACTACTTGTTGCTTTATCCTTGAGATTCCAAGCATTTCACTGTCAAAATGCTTAAAAGTAAGAATGGGGTGCTTCACAGTCAATGCCTAAAAGCTTTCAGCTTTATCAATACCATGTGAAAGCTTCAATTGGGAAAAAGGAAATGTTTGGAGAACTGATTCAAATGATTATAGTGTTTCATAAGATACAACTGAAAAATATCATGAATGTTTAAAATTTTTAAAAGATTTATTACAATAAGGCAAATTATCACAAATCCCCAACAAAATACTCTGTCTTTGAATACACTTATCGCATGCTTCTTTCTGAAGCAGTTCTGAAGTCCTCTTTCGTGAGTGTCCTTAGTTGCTCTGTCCTAGCTGTCGTAATGAATTTAATTGTTTGAAAACGTTTCCCTTTCATGGTCATTTTGACTTTGGGGGACAGCTAGAAGTTGCACAGGGTCTAATTCAATGAATAAGGTGGGTGAGGATACACTGTCATGCTTTTACTTCCCCTTTTTTTTTTCTCTTTCTGGTACTGGGGATTGAACTCACAACCTTGCGCTTGCCGGGCAGGCGCTGTGCTGCTGAGCTAAATCCCCAGCCCCACTGTCATGTTTTTACATGCCTCCCTTTCTTTGAATGGCACTCGGCAATAGCACCCACCAGACACTTCTTAAAGACACTCATGAGGGGGCTGGGGGTACAGCTCAGCGGCACAAGTGACTGCCTGGCAAGCACAAGGTCCTGAGTTCGATTCCCAGTAGCACAAAAAAAAAAAAAAAAAAACATTCATGAAAGAAGACGCCCAGAACTGCTTCAGAAAGTAGGGAGAATAGGGGGACATGTGTATTTAAAGAGACAGGGAGAATTCCGAGGGGAGTTCACAGCAATGTGTCTTACCATAATACATTTTAAACATTCACTATACATTTTGATCATCGCTTGTGTATTAATCACATGTTGCTCTGAAGGCACAATAAGGTACCTTCCATTGCTGAGAAACAAAGAGTAAGAGATGCACAGTTCTATCTCCAACATAAAAACATTCCTCTAAGAACATCTCTCATTTATTGGGCTCAATTTCCTCTCTTGATCTTGTTAAGGGCATGGGCTGGAGCCCGACTGGGTTTAAATTCTAGCTCCGCCTCTTAACCAGCTGGATGCGCAAGCTACTAAGCTTTCTGCAGCTCACTCTCTCCTGTATCTTGGGGAGGACAAGGTATCTACCACCAGAATTGTTGAGGATAAGATGAATTATTAGGTATAAAGAGCTTAGCACAGATTTCTACATAGTAAATCTTCAAATAAAAAGTTTGCTAATACTATTCAGTGCTTTATGGGCTCCCAAGCAATATTTTTAAGAAGTAAATTAATTATTCATGAAGCCAAAAAACTAATAAAGAGCCTGTGTTTTCTCTGAAGACTGCTGAATGAATCTGGGTCAGATTACTTGTGTCTCAGTTGCTACATTTATAGAGGCAGCAGAAAACATCCCACTAACAAATAAGGACTTGCTTGTTATATTCCCTTTACAAATGATGAACTGCCCAAAGCCTGTATTTAAAACTGTATGCTGCAGGAAGAACTAAACTGAGATGAGGTCGTAATAGTACTGATTTTAAAAACTTGCTGACACAACACCGTGAATGTACTTTAATGCCACTGTGGAATTATCTATTTAAAAATGTTAAACTGAGCATGGCAGTACATGCCTGTGTTCCTAGTACTGGAGGCTGAAGCAGAAGGACTGCAAGGAACTTAGTGACTTGGCGCGACCCTGTCTTAGAATAATATAATAAAACGGCTGACGCTGGGCACAGTGGCACATGCCTGTAATCCCAGTACTTGGGAAGCTGAGACAGGAGGATCACTGTGAGTTGGAGGCCAGCCTGGGCTCCAAAGTGAGTTCAAGGACAGCCTAAACTACACAATGACATCCTGACTCGAAGGGGGGCGGGCACCTGAGGATATAGCTCAGTGCTGTTACTTGCCCCAGTTTGACCATTTAATAGGAACAATAATATTCCTTAGAGTGGGGTATAAATTTGAAGGTTTACTCACTCAGAATGTGTTTTTCATTGAGTGACAAAAATCAGTATTTATTGTCTTCACATAGGCTTGTGTTTCTATCATAAAGTACAAAAAAGTTCCAGAAAAGGTATTTAAAGAGATCCATTTTTGCAAAAGGACTACTAAAAACACCATGGAAGCCAGGCACAGTGTGCAAATCCTAAATATATACAAAGGAAAAGGTCTGGAGGGATACAAAGTATTCAAAATATTAAGAATCTCTGTGTGAGAAGATAATAGGATTTTCTATAGTATGTTTTTGTGCAGTTTAAAACATCCTAAATGTTGTAACAAAAAAAGCAGCTCTGTACCCCCAAGTTTCTCACCTAGATGTAGTGTGGCAGCCAGCAGGGCATGGATGTAGACTGCAAACTGGGCCCGGATCCACTCATCACCTCCCTCCCAGCCTGTGCCGTCCAGGAAGACGTCATCTCGGTTCTCGGTCACATGCCTGACCAGATAATCTGCAAACCTGAGGTCTGCAGTGGTTGGGTGAAGCAGCTTCCTGAGTTCTGGGTCTTGGATCTGGATCAGAGCTTCTTCTACCTAAAGAGTACCCAGGTACAAGTCAGAGTCTGGGCATTCAGGCAGATACCCATGCCATACTTTAAAGAGCAACTACTGGGAAGTTGGAGATGGAAATAAATAACAGCACTCTCAAAAGGTGAGTCTAAGCTGGGTGTGGTGGCTCACACCTGTAATCCCAGCACTCTGGAGGCTGAGGCAGGAGGATCGTTGGGAGTTCGAGACCAGCCTGGGCTACAAAGTAAGCTCAAGGCCAGCCTGAACTGAATGGCGAGACCCTGTCTCAAAAAGACCAAAAAAAGGTGAGTCTAAGAAACAGATTTTTACACTAAAGCTTTTTTCTTTTTCATTTAAAAAAATGTTTCTTTTCTCCTTTAAAGACAATGTATGTATATACACACTATTTTGAATTAGAAAAGGATTCTTGTTGATTGTATTCTGGAAAATATAGAGATACACATACACTAAAATCACCTTTATCTCACCCACAGAAATGAATTTAAGTATAATTCTTCAAAAGTTTGCCTTTTGAATGTATACTTTAGAATATTTTTATGATATACAGAGAAATATCCATAACTTACATGTTAAAGTAAAATAATAAACACCCATGAGCCTCCTCAAACTTCTCCACTAGCGTGGACCAATGCTGCCATCTGTACTTCCTGTCCTGGGCCGTATATACATTTTTCCTTCCTCAAATTCAAGATCAAAATAAATATAACTTGAACTCTTGGATTTTTCATTTATTATATTATAATCATTTTCCCATAAAGCCTATACTTTGTGTCAGAAACTACAACACTGTGTGGCTAAAATTTTTTTCTTTTTTAAAAAATTACTTCAATTATAAAATTAAACAAATTATTTAAAATTTTCAATATTCTAGTAAGATATCAAATATGTACTCTTAGCTTCCTTAATATTAAGAAAGCATTAAATAAGCTAGAAGGATTCAAACTATTTGAACAATAATTTTAATAATCTTGAGATCACAGTAGGCTCATACCCATGTCCTGTTTCTTAGCTTCCTTAGATATAAAACAGACGGTAACAACATCTCTGCTTAATGTTACCTCTCCCTCATAGGGCTGTTACGAGAATTTGATGGGTTAATGTACATAAAGCACTTAGGATGCCCGATCCAGCAAGCAATTATTACCCTATTATTAGTGTTGTTATATTATAATATTATATATAAACTACATTTCAGAAAGGAACACATGGGCCAGCATGGCTGAGCACATGCGCTCAGACGTAAACATACTTCCACAATGGCATCGCTGAGATGTTTCTGTTGTCGAAAAAGGATGTTAGTAGCTCCAGCAACAAATCCCCGAACGGTGACATCAGAGAGAAGGTGATGCTGCTGCAGAGCCATGTAAGGCAAGCACAGATAACCCTATGGATTACAAGAACACCAGAAAATATCAGGAAGGTAAATGAATGGCTCCTTCTCTAGTCAAGCTACCAGCAGGAGGGTGGACAGTCACAGAATCACCCATCTCCCTGCTTGGCCCCAGGTGGCTCATATTTAACTCACTCCTGCAGAATTCAGGCACCTTGGAATCAGCTTATCTTCTGTATAAATGGCCAAATATTGGTGAGGTGTTTAACATGAGGGTTCTCTTACTTGACCACTTTATTTTTGGTTCAATGTAAAAGCCTGTACAGTAAGGAATTGGACTTTTTTATTTAGAAAAATGTTAAGTCCCTTAAAAAGTACTGTATGTCATCTAGCAGAAAACTTAAAGACACATGTATCTGCATATAATTTCCAAAATACAATTACAAGAAGAGCAAAGTACCGTACTGTCTTGTCCTACTGCTAAAAATCACACAAAAAGGGGCTGGGGATTTAGCTCAGTGGCAAAAGCGCCTGCCTGGCAAGCGCAAGGTCGTGAGTTTGGTTCCTGGTACCGGAGAAAAACCAAAAAAAAAAAAAAAATCACACAAAAAGTCGAGACATTTGTTTATATTTTAAAGGAAAAATGACACTGGCAGTAATTGTGGATTTAGTTAGTTTTCACTTGAATTGTATTTTAAATAGCACTGTCTTAAAAATTATAGTTTAGCCAGTTGTAGTGGCACACCCCTATAATCCCAGAACTCGGGAGGCTGAGGAAGGACGATTGCCATGAGTTTGAGCCCAGTCTGGACTACATAGTGAGTTCAAGGACAGCCTAGAATATACCACAAATAAACAAATAAAAGAATTACCTCAGTAGGCATTTGAGTAAACAAAAATCAAACTGAAACAAATGAAACAAATTTACAAAATCCCCAAATACCCCAGCATACTTCCTGAGCAAAGGTGTCAACAGTAGAATGATTTCCCAAGAATGGATATGAAATTTCTGAAAGATCCTACATCTGAACAGTGGCATGGCTTGTGTATGAATCCAGGAGGGCAGAGTTGCTGAGCCCCTGAACTTGGTTTTAGCCTCAAATTCTATGGTAGTTTTCCTTTTCCACTTCTCATTACTGAGTACAGGTGTCCAGATGATACATCCAATAATTTGATTACATCCTGACATAAGTCTAAGGACAGGAGCTACACTTTGTTTTTTTGTTTTTTGTTTTGTGGTACCAGGGATTGAACTCATGACCTTGTGCTTGCCAAGCAGGCGCTTATGCCACTGAGCTATATCCCCAGCCCAGGAGCTACACTTTGAATGACTCCAGATTCTTCACTGCAATTAGGGCGCTCCTTTGTGCCTGACAGATGGTGGTTAAGTACTTAATATGGTAGAGAAGACTTCCAGAAGTTGGAATATAGGTCTAGTAACTTGATTTTATTGTTATCCTTCAGAGTTTCTTTCCAATAATAAAAGCAGCAAAGATCAATCGTGACTATGAATTAGAGTTTCTTAGTATAACGCTTCTCAATTCAGGTGTCTTGGTACTAATACTCAAAGGATAGAACATTGATCCTCATTGAGAACTGCTCGGTTGGAACAGTTGGTTTAGGGCTCATGATTCCTGCTTGACTTATGGGCTATGTATCTAAAAGCAACAAATGGCTTCACCACCTGCAAATCCCTTTTTCCAAACTATTACAATATTGAATGCTCTTTCACACTTGATTTGGTCCCCAGAGAACACCCACTTCCCAGTTAAGTGTGAGAATCCTTGATAAAAGTACTCTCAGAACTGCCATTACAAAAGATTTATACTGCAAAACAGTAGTAAGAGAGTTAGTTGCTGACAGTGCCACATTTCGTAACAGATTCTGTTAGCAAAGAAAAGTCTATCATCAACAGTGGGATTCTTGGCTAAGTACAACAGCATCAAAACTAAGAAGCACTCTATTTTTTAAAAAAATAAGGGGCTAGGAATGTAGCCCAGTGGTGAAGCACTTTGCTTACCATGTGTGGAGCCTTGGGATCAATACCGAGTAACACAAACCACACACACACACACACACACACACACACACACACACACACACACTTACCCATGAGCACAAAGTTACTAAGTTTATCTGTAAGGAATACTATGTAAAAAGAAAATAAGGGCAGAAAAATGGATATGGTCTGCTTCTATTTGTGTAAAAAGGAAGAGGATTTTCCTATGTACTTGTTTATACACAACATATCCTCCAAAGGAAATGTAAGACATTTGGTAATAATACTTACCACCCCTGGAGAGGACAGCCAGGCAGCGTGTGTGGGATGGAAGGGAGACATTTTTTTGAGGCAGGGTCTTGCTATGTAGTCCAGGTTAGCTTTGAACTCTTACCACTCCTGCCTTGGCCTCCCAAGTGCTGGGATTACAAGTGTATGGGAGCCACCAAACCTGGCAGAAACACTTCTTAAATTTTTGTTTTTCTGGTGCTGAAGACTGAATCTTGTGCATTCTCAGCACACATTCTGCCACTGAGCTACACTCCTAGCCATGAAGACATTTTATTATAGGTGCTCTGAAAACTTTGACTATTGAACTATGTGGAAACATTACATATTTATAAAATTGTTTCAAATAGTAGTTCTCAAAATAGTTTTAAAACTTTGTCATTAATCAGTTCAGCCTAAGTTTTCTAATAGCCTTTAATGCATGACAGTGGCAAGAGCTTGGGTTTGCCCCTCACAGGAAGCAGCCTCCACACCCAACCCTTTCTTGGTTTTCCACTCTACTAGGACAATTTCACTTTTGGAAACTGTAGTATATAATAGTTAAGAAAAGACAAAATACAAGAACACAAAACAGTAAGAACTGAGCAAACATCACTAAGATATTCACACACCCATATTCATAGCAGTTTTATTCACAGTAGCCAAAAGGTGGTAGCAACCCCAGGGTCCATTGGAAGAAGAATGAAGATGTGGCTTCTACACACAGTAGGTCCCCTGGAGCCTTAATAAGGAAGGAAATCTGTCATGTGATACCTACAGCACAGATGAACCCAAGGATACAGAATTATCATGAGCTGCTGGGATAAGGAGGTGCAAAAGCACAGTGAGCCTCATCTCATGTGACATGGAGAAAGTGAGAGGTCCAACTACTGATGGAGATCACCACAAGGCAGCCCTGAACAAGACTTAAATTAACTAACTGACTTTCCATTTTTATTTGTGAGTCTGTCCAAGGCCTAAGTTCCTTGTCTGGGGATGGGTGGTGGACTCATAGTAAGTGACCCTCTGTAAATCACTAATCCCCACTAAGGCCTGTAATGGCAGATGAAGCCAGAAAGCCTCAAAGGATAAGACAAGGTCACAACCAAGGACACTGGGATCTGATCTTAACTAGATAAAGTCTCTAGCCTCAGGCATCTCACTCCTGGGTGGATTAACTTAATGCCCTACTTGGAGAAGTTCTTGAGTGGTTCTGCCCTTCTTGAGTACTCCCCTCCCTTCTTCTGATAACTAAATAAATACAGGCCACCTAGAGAAGGCCTTGGTCTTAGCCCTGAGAATCTTGAATTCTGTGAGAGGGCTTTGATCTTTCTGAAGCCCTGAAATCATTTCACTTGCCTCTCTTTATGCAGGCTTCACTGTATACTTGTTCGGGAGATTGCAGACTTGATCAAACCACAATAACTAAGAGATATTATTAACCTGATAAACTACAGCTTGGCTTTCTCTTGTATTCTGTTGGAGAACAAGCAGGTCACAAGCACCGCTGTCTCCCTAGGTGTTATGGCTTGTGTCTAGATGTCCCCCTAAAGCCTCATGAAGTCACAGTCAGTGGGCTTTCAGAGGTGGCTGAATTTACAGTTTGACTGATTCATGGTCTAATGCTGAGATTAAGGGTATGAGTGCTACACCCACCTAAGGGCAGGTAGCCTGCATATAAGGGATAGAAAGAGGTTTGTTGCTCTTTCTCTTGTTGCTTTTGCTGTCTTCTGCTGCCATGAACTGTTGCTCCTCTGCTATGTGCCACCCTGCCTTGGAGCCAGCCGATTATGGACTGAAACTTGTACAAACTGTGAGCTAAAAAACAAAACAAAACAAAACTGTGAGCTAAATAAATTCTTCCTCCCTTAACTTTGAGTGTCAGATATTTTGTCTCAGCAATGAGAAAAATAACTAAAACACTAGGGCAGGGAGGCCAATTCTCTCTAACACTCATCCATGGCTTTAAGTGGAATCCCCACCCCAAATCTCCACACACATGTTGATGTGGAAATGCAAAGGGCCACGAGACTCCTGAAGAACAGAAGCAAGCCAGGAAGACTTCTCCACAGTGACAGCACTGTGTGCAACCATTCACAGATAGACAAATGCACATGGAACAGCAAGCATCCAGAACAGGTGCCCTACTTGACTGCACACAGATATCAGTTCCAGGCAGCTAAAACTTGAAATGTGCAAGGCAAAACTATGTTTTACAAAAATAAGGAAATGTTTTTAAGATCCTGGAGCAGGAGAGGATTTTTTACTTTTTGTCTTTTTTGAGACAGGGTCTTGCTATGCAGTTCAGGCTGGCCTTGAGCTCACTTTGTAGCCCAGGATGGTCTCGAACTCCCAATGATCCTCCAGCCTCAGCCTCCCAAGTGCTGGGATTACAGGCATGTGCCACCATGCCCGGCTTTT